TGTCATCTGATTACAATTTAACATTCATATCAAAGATCACATTAATATTTTGTGGGTTCAATCTAGTATCTAAACTGGTGAAAGTCATGACACAATGTGCATAATGACACAATGTGCAGGATGTTCACTCTGCAACACTGGACATCAATTTCCTCATCTGGAAAGAGAGAGATGGGGATAAGTGCAAGGTTCCTTCAGGCAGTCCGGGTGACTCACTGCCAGGGCAGGCTTGACTCAGTAAGGTGACAACCTCAATGTGTTCCACCAACAGGGATGCTCTCACGGAAGACGAAAGAGAAACAATGTGATGGAGCACTAACTGAAAGCTCTGCTTCTAAAACAAACGCATTTCAAAACTACCACTCCCCAAGAGCCCACTTCTTAGTAAATGTACAGTATACTTCTGATACAGAAGCATCCTCATGTAATACCACTGTCAAAACCATAAACTTGCAGTGACTAGTCTTTTTTAATGGCTACAGAGGTGACTTCAGTTCCTGGCTTAATGAATAATTAGGCCCCCTAGAGGACCTATACCAATTGTAAATAGATAAACACTGGTATTTAGACTTGCCAGGTAGTTTCCTTTTTGAGTGGTTAGTGGGGGAGGATATGCCAAGGAAACCTTTCCAAGATCATCCAGGGGGCAGTATTACGGCACCATGGAGATTCTGGCAACTTCTATGGGAGCATCATTTCAATTTCCAGTTGCTCCACTTCCAATCCAGCTCCCTGTTAATGTGCCTGGGAAGGCAGCAGAAGATGGCCCAAGTGCTCGGTCCCGCTACCCACGTGGGAGACACAGATAGAATTCAATGCTTTGGCCTGGCCCAATCCCAGCACACTGCCTTTCTGTTGCTTTACCTCTCACATAAATAAAATAAATCTTAAAAAAAAAATTACTCAGAGGTGGGTACATTTGGCCCAGATGTTTAAGATACCTCCCATCCTGGAGAACCTGACACAAGTTCCACCTCTTAGCCTGATTCCAGCTAATATGCACCCTTTGAGGCAGCATTTGCCACCTGGGCTTCCCACATGTTGTCTCTGAGCATCTAGGCTCAAGTTCTACTCTGCTTCCACCTTCAGTTTTGTAGAACTGTACACCCTGGGAGCCATGAAGTGACAGCTCCATGTGCTAACTCAGGCTGCCGTCCGGGCTCCTGGCTTTGGCCTGGCCCTGTCCTGGGCATTGTGGCCTTGTGGGGAATGAACCCTCTCTCGGTGTCTCCCTCTTCCCCCTGACCCTGTCAAGTAAATACAAATTTTAAAGTGACATCACCCAGAAACTATATCACATGGAAATGCATCTCTCTTCCTGCCACTATAGAGGCCTTCTTTAAATCAGAAGATTCAGTACGTACCAATCTGTATGAAATTCAGTAAAAATGTCTTTTCCACTTGGTGGGAAAAAAATGGGAGTAAAAGCACTATTTGTTCTAGTCAACTTATATGATGCAAGAAATACATTTGTAGGGGAGAGGAGTAGTTCAGCAGCTGTCTTTTTTAGGCACGTAGAAAGAGCAGTGTTTGAGTATGAGGTTGCTGAAGGAGTTAGCTCAGTTCCATTCCCAAGGCCTTACACTTCAAACAAAGGGCAGAGGGCTTATGCACTCCTCTTATCTTTCCCTACAGCAAACATTGTATTTTCATGCACGCTGCACAATGAAAGGCAAGGTGACTGCCAGAGCACCTGGCCAAGGAAAAGCACATCAGGGCCAGGAAGTAGATTCTGAAAGAAACATTCATAACAGATCTATTCAATCTGACTACAAATCAGCACAAAGCGAATAAGTCTAAGCCATGCAAGCCTCAACTGGCTCCTTTCATATCAGAAACGCATTATATCTTACTAGAACATTCAATTTCCCAATGCTTCAAACTCGTCTCTCTTGCCCCCAACTCTGGAATCTCCAGTGGCCCCAGCTTTTGTACAGCACCTCTTATTCTACCTAGAGCCCAGAGATGCATCTGTTCTTTCACCCGGGAAGGCTGAAAAGCAAGATATGAGAAGCACACATTTGGAAATGATGTGGCAAATGTAGGGGTGCGCTCCCTAACTAGTAAACAAATTCTTCCACCAGCTGAAGGACTTCAAGGGCACAAACAATTGTTCATCTACTTAAAAAACAATAGAAACAAAACCTCTAAAAATCTTGCCTCTTCCTACTGCCCTCACAGGCTGTTGAGGGCTACAAGAGAATTCACATGAACTGAGGTAAAGTTTTATCAATAGCCTCAAGTAACAGTTACTTAGGAGTGTAAGCACAGTTAATTTAAGTGGACATGAGGAGCATATTCCAGCAGGGAAAGGTAACTGTGAGCAATCAGAGAAGCAGATTAGAAAAGCTCTGAGAGTTACATGGAGAAATTAGGACTCACTCAGTAGACACAAGGAAATGGAAGATTTTTAGGGATGTACCATATGCTGAATACTGCTCTAAAATCAGCAGAAAGTCCTAGGATGGATGAGAGGCTCGCGTAGGACACAGAGCCTCTGCTAGGGGGATACATGTGAGTGATGTATTAAGAGTGGGGAATGATTAAGAGTGTCAATGGAAAGGAATCAAATAAATTATTTTCTTCCTCTGAAAAAATAAAATCATGCTTTACTAATGTTCTAATTATGAATGCTTAAAAATTTTTTTTAGAAAATACAAGCTAGTGGAGTGGGAAGAAAAAGACACCTGTCACCATTGTTCAACTCTCAGACTGATTTCCTCTCAATGTCACAAAAGATGTTACAAAGCACTTGGAGACTGACTAGCCAGGAGGCATTCAAATAAATATGCAAGGATGAAATGAGTTCAAAGTTTTGGCAGTAAGAAGAGAACTGCCAGTACTGATAGCGAAGCAATCAAAGTAGAGATACAGGGCTATTAGCAAAGAGGGGAGTGTGTTAAAAGGGTATACCAGGCATAGACGGAGGGAGCTGCTCTCCTGCTGAGTAAGGGGGCACCCGGCTAAGCAGAACATCCATCCAGCAGCCTGTGTCCTAACAATCAAACGCAGGAGGAACAGAGGCTGCAGTGAGGGCGGCAGTAGCTGCCGGCTGAATGCGTTCGATGGTGTGCCAAGCCCCAAGAGCTCCCATGAGCCCTGACGAGGCCCAGCTTACTCCGCAGCAGAAACTAGTCTCGCTGCACAGAGCCAACTGCCAAGGGTTTTATGTTCTGACACTTTCACTCAACGAAGTCATAATACACACACAGGGGAATGCATATGTATGCTTCATGGCTAGAGGGTAAAATGCAACTGGGGCCAGCACTGGGCATAGTCAAGCTGCCAGCAGTGTCCCACATCAGAACACCGCTTTGAGTCTCAGCTGCTCCACTTTGGATCCAGCTCCCTACTAGTACTCTGGAAAAGCAATGGAAGATGACCCAAGCACTGGGGCTCCTGCCACCCACACGGGAGACTTGGATCAAGTTCCAAGCTCCTGGCTTCAGCCTATCCCAGTCTCCTCGTTGTTCTAGCCAACTGAGAATGAACCAGCAGACAATAGATCCATTACTGACTGATTGCATCACTCATTTGCTCTCATATATTTACCTTTTAAATAATGAATCTTGAATGCAAAATGCAATGGAAACTTGACTAAAGGGAAAACGATGAGGGGGAGAAAAAGTTGCAAGTTGTTTTATAGTTGGATTTTGAAAGATAGAATTATTAATTACTTATGGTCATTAATATTTATTGCACGGGAAGTTGTATTTCTATTATGCAGTAGCAATATGAACATAGTATGCAAAAAAAAACTGGACAATGGTAGTTTTTATATTTCTGGAATTTGGGATAAAAATGCATATTTCCCCATCTCTACCTAATCATTACAGCTAATTTACCATCATTTCGACAAGATAGTTTAAATAATCTTTTATCATTCTGCTTGCCAGGTTTACTATGTGTGCCTTTAAGCACTTGTGTCACATTAACTGTAAAATTGCTTTACATGTCTAAAGGTTTATAGTAGTCTGCAGGAAGATGACCACGGTTTCGTCTTCATCTATGGTCAGAGGCTACAGATATAACCCAGTTAGCTCTACAGCTTCTTCTGTTTCGTGTATCTCTGTGGCTGTTAACAGGATTTAAAGGGACTCAGAAAACCCATTTCTGGAAAGCAGCTCTTAGCATTAATAAATCGGAACACCATGAAAAATGTGGTACTGCCCAGTAGCTCACTCCTTCAATGCTGGTGGCGGGCCCTGTGATCAGAAACAACTTTTGAAGAAAACGCATCTGTCAATACATACCGAAAGCCACAAAAAGATTTGCAACCTGTCATTTGATAATAATCATAGTCCCAAGGATTTCTCAGACTTGAAAGAACACCAAGTGCACAAAATGTTCAGTATAGAATTATCTACCTTATTCAAAATAGTAACCGAACAACTACCAGTAGAGTGTTCAGCCAATGGGGAAGCAGAGCATGTTTCCAGGGAACTCATCACGGTGTGGGAAAGGTGGACTGGAGAAAAAGGCAATGGGGCAGACAAGAGCAGAGTACACAAACCTCAGCCCCTTTTGGAAAACTGTGCGGAATCATCATAAAGGTCACTCTGGAATAGTAGGAAAATGTCACAGCTACAATGGAGGAGATTTTTTCTTAAATAATGACTATGTTAATATTTAACAGGCTGTAACAACAGAAGTAGGGAAAAACTAGCAGTACAGGACACTCACCTACAAAGGTTATTTCCTTATTTGCGAAGCATTTAAGTGGCGACAGATCTACTCCTTCATAGCAGCTTAGGAACAGTCTGCTTTCTACTGCACACACAACTGTCTTTTCCTTCCTTGGCACTGTCTCCCCCCCTCCCCCCGCCACCCCAAAACCCACAATCCCAAAAGCTACTTCCTACAGAGTTTTCAAAAATCCCAGATCATGTGCCTGAAATCCCAAAACAGAGTTAATATGACAAACCCAAGTAATGCAGTTCTTTTACAATGACTTTGTCAAATAGAAAAGCACAGATATGTTACTTTAGAAAGTAACTTACAAACTGGAAGCAGCTCCTGACACTCGGTTCAATGTTACTGCCCCCAAAGGACGCAACTTCACCCAACTGTCTTGGTATTTGGATAGAATCATGCAGCAGGAGGCCCAGCCTACGCTGGTCACAAAATCCTGTTGAACTTGCCACTTGCTTGAAAAGGTCTACAAAAGGAAGAGAATTGCAACAATCAGAATACAGCACTAAGTGAATGCTACAAGAACCCAATGTCCAACTCAATTCCAATAATAGTCAATATTCCCAAAGAGTTATTTCTGACTTACGCCAATCTGCACAATGCAGTATAAGCTAAGCTAATCACCACTAAGTACCTATAAACATGTAGTTTAGCTATAAACACACAGACTATTGCCCTGCATGAGATGCAAGTTCATATATTATCTTGACACAAGAATTTTGTCCTAAGCCAGAATGCAATCATTTAATACATATTATATAGAGAAGAGTTTCAAAAATTCACAGAAAATAGAATTAACAGGTAACTTTATTTTGGGGCATGAAATCTAAAATGCATGTGTATGAGCATAGGATATAACCACTATCATATAACAAATGTTTTAGCCCTAAGAGCCAGAGAACTGGGCCAAAGCACCATTCCCTTTGAAAATCAGAGAAGTAAATATGTAGAATAATTGGCACTTCTTCATGGAGTCCTTATCAAGCTTCCATAGGTGTGCCCGCAAGATGCTATGCATATTCAAATGTGCTCACATACTTTGTCCTCTGTCACAGACTTAACATGAATTTGTCTTTGTAACTGCAGAATGGTATTTCCCTGAAGGACAGGAACCATGCCTTGGTTAACTACATACCCAAATATCTACAGCAGGCCAGTAGTGACCTGGGAGTAACAGGTACCCAACACGTGCGCATCACAGACTGAAAGAACATACCAAATGCTTTTAAGGTTCTCAGAAACCTAAAAACGTTAATCACATTCTCTACTCTCCTAGAAGTTGCCAATAAAAGTGAATTCAAAACAGCTTTCTGTACCCATAAGCCCACCTTAAATGCTCTGAAATTAAATCGCTTAACAAGATATCCAAGATAGTCAAAATAAAATTGGGACCACATGCACAGCTTTGAAGCATCTCTCCATTACACACATGTAGACATTTTGGGCAAACTTATGAATTAGTTATAAGATCTCACTTTGAAGTTGATATTTTTGTTTAACCAACCTTAAAACATGCTCCCTCTTAGCAGGGAAACAGTCTCAAAATGCCTTTAATGATTCAATTTAGTATCTACAATGTGATCTATAAAGTTAGATAAAAACCAACCCATAATAAGTAATGACAATGTTTAAAGGAGGCAAGACTACCAGAATGCTTTGCTTTATTCAAAATATAAGATATTGCAAAATGTTCACAGAAAATGAAATTAAAAGATAAATTTATTTTGATGGAAAAAATTCTGAAATCCACACAAACAGGGAAGCTTCAAAAAAAATTCCTGAAATGTAAGTATAGAAGCAAAGCTATTCAGCAGGCAGCCATGTGCCCTAGCACGTTAGCTGCTGATTAAGCTGGCTGCATTGATGTCACAATACTTGCTTGAAGTGCCAGCTCTGAACCAGATGACAATTTCTGCTAATTGGGATCCTGGGAAGTAGCAGGTGATGGCAAGTTTAGTAAGGTTTTACCTGCAGTGGGAGACCTGAATCAAAAGTTCCAGCCCCTGGATCAGTCCGGGCCAGCTTTGTCTAGTGTAGACATTTGAGGATTAACGACCAAATGGGAATTGTCTTTCTCTGCCTGTTGTCATATAAATAATTTTTGTGTTTAAAAAAAAAAAGCTGTTTGGTCATTTATCACTGGTTTTTTTTTTTTAAAGATTTATTTTTATTGCAAAGTCAGATATATAGAGAAAGGAGGAGAGACAGAGAGGAAGATCTTCCATCCAATGATTCACTCCCCAAGTGACTACGGCTGGTGCTCCACCTATCTGAAGCCAGGAGCTCTTCCAGGTCTCCCATGTTGGTGCAGGGTCCCAAGGCATTGGGCCATCCTCGACTGCTTGCCCAGGCCACAAGCAGGGAGCTGGATGGGAAGTGGAGCTGCCGGGAAAGGAACCAGCACCCATATGGGATCCTGGCTCGTTCAAGGTGAGGACTTTAGCTGCTAGGCCACTGTGCCAGGCCCTATCATTGGTTGTTTACTTGAGAAAATTCAATGAAAGACTAGATAAAAGTAACAGCTAAAATGGCTTATAGATTTTGTGGCTTAGTCATAGAGAAGAAATGATCAGGACAGAGTAGCTGCAGAGGAATTCGACCTCATTTTTCTGCTGCATGACCTTGAATTCAGCACATTTCCTCACTTATGTGTGACTAGGCCTCAGAGAGAAATAGAGAAGACAGACTGGATATGTTTAATATTCCTACAGAATTTTCTTACACGTATTTGAAGCAGAAAAACAAGTGCCATTCTTCACAATGGTCATCTCCCTGGGGTGGGAGACATCTGTTAGGGCCTACAAAATCATTTGGTCTGGCCCTGCCAAGGCAAGCACAGGTGGGCCCCAAAGTTCAAAAAATCTGCCTCAGGCTAAGTTGATGATTATGTATGGCCCACAAATAACATCATAATTATCCAGTGGCCCAAGGCAAGAAAAAAGGTTCCTCAATGCAGAAAGCCATCACTTCTCGAGCATTTACATTTAACTGGGAGCTGCAATTTTTTTAAACTTACTTATCAGAGGTGCAGAGTAAGAAAGAGCAAGGCAGACAGGTGGCCAGAGGAAGAGAGCCAGCTGCCATGGACCAGCTCACTACCCGAATGTCTGCAAAAGCTGGGGCTGGCGTGGGATGAAGCCAGAAGCTGGGAACTCAATGCAGGTGTCTCATGTGGCTGCCAGGAACCCTGGAACCTGACCCAACACCTGCTGCTTCCCAAGGTGTGTATTAGCAGGAACCATAACTCAAAACCAAATACGCCAACGTGAGAATATGGGCATCCTAACAGTTATGGCAAATGGCTGCCCCTGGATCTGTAACTTTTAAGACCCCTATGGCTAATCAAATGGAAATTCTGTACGGCGGTATGCATGCTTTCACAAACAGTAAGCTTTCTGACTCTGAAATGATAAAATGTTAATCACCACAGAATTGGGGATGTCACTACACTGCAGTTAAATCATTATAAAGTAAACAATGCTTCCTCAACGTTAGTGCCAGATAATATTCTTTAAATAAGAATCCACAGACTAGGCAAGTACAGGGATTAAACCTGCACATTTATTTTTTTTCTGCCTTATACAAAAGGGTTAGGAGATCAGGCTTTATCCCCTAGGAACACATGTTTTATTCAGACAGTCAATGTAACATAAAATAATACTCGGACTGGAAAAGTTAATCCTCGCTCTCTATTTAAATACCTGCAATTTAATGTTTGACAGGCAACAGCACAAGCCTAATTTTATGACACTCTAAATGCAGTTCTACATCTTACATGAACCTGCTGTCAAATAAGAACACTATGTCATTTCCCACCTAGAACTGGAGTGATTAGCCAGCCCCAATAAAAGAATGCAGAGTTAATATGCATGACTTACATCTGTACTTGTCTTCCAAATGTGCTTTACACAGAGAAATGATGCCAGTTTTAAAAGACAGGACACGGATCCTCCCGGTACGTCCCCTAGTATGAAGAATCAAACCAGAAGATATTTACTGACACTTCCCCCAAACACTTTTAATTAAGAACAAGAGAGTAGACATGAACTTTATGCAAATTGGTCATTGATTTATCGAACACTGAGAACTTTTCCAAGTTCACTATCTATATTCTTACTGATGACCTAGGATACACTGGAAAGCTGAACAACAGAAGCAATGAATATTTACAAAGTTTTCAATTCTTAAAAACATTTACTTACAATAGGACAGGGAGGGGGTAGAGCCTTCTATTCGCCCGTGGAGAACGACTTTGGCTTATATCAGTAATTGGACGACTTACCACTGTGCACCAAGCTATTTTGGTTAGTGAAATAAATTACCTACTTTGGTTACTGAAGCCCAAAAAATTACCAGCAACTAACTGCTCTGTTCTCTTCAACACTCTTTTACACTTTCATTAGACTGCCCCTCATTGAGAAGAAAATTAATCACTTCAGGCCCCGTGGCACCTAATATAAAATATGAACATTTATTTCCATGAGAAAAATGACATGCCTGATTAGAAAGCATTCAAACACATGCTCTACAAGAGAAGTTTTAAAGAAACCTATTGCTACATCAATGCTTTAATATATATGCTTTTGCTTTACACATAGAAAGCAGAAATATAGCCTGCTACATAACCAATTTTTTAAGAAACATATTTTATCTACGTGAACCAATGGAAAACAAGAATGAAAAGTTTCCCATTCTGTAGAAAATGTCTTTTAATAATTTTTCAGTTTCTTAATTATGGAAAACAACTAGACTTTAGGCAGTGGTTCAATAAAAGCAAGGAAGCAGAAAGATAGACATATTCTCCATCTGTCATTTCTTCTTCATAAAGGATAGATCCAAACTATGGTTACTTCTGGTGAACAATACACTCAACTTGCAACTAGTGGCAATTTAATAAATCCCTCAAAGAGAAATGCTAGAAATTCTTATCACTTAAGTGTTTTCTTAGTCTTCCTTCCCTCTTAGGAAAAGGCATATCAAAACTTAACAAACAACCCTTTCCAGTATAACTCAGGTCTTCAGGGAGTTCAAATTGTCCTCATGTAATCTTCAGGCAGGCAGAATAAAAGTTACATATCCAGAATACATCCACATGTGTCCAAAAAAAAAGGGTGCCAAAACATATTTGAGGAAAGATCTGAATACAAAAACTTGATCGACATAAATGTAAATGTAATCCACACTTAAGAGCCAACATGTTCAAAGTCTTGGTATATGATTGAATTTAATGGCCAGGTGGTACTGAAATTTAAAAAGGAATACCTCATCAAAATAACAACAAAAAAGTATCAATTTTGGTGACAGTGGTGGTAGTAGTCTAGCATATAGATAAAAGGCAACAAAGTTGCAATGCAATTCTTTTGAGAAAACCTTTCCAGATTTCCAAATGAGAATATGCTCTTGTTGATGCGAGAAATGAGGCATGTAATAACCTTGAGGTCTTAGAAGAATTCAGTTCCAAAACCAAGAGCAATGTTTGTGCTCCCTTACTCAGTTGCATCCATTAAGCTCAGGACAAAAATAACTGAGGATGTCTCCCATGTATAATTCAAAAGAAGTAAATAATTGTTCTATCAGAGAGAGTGATGAATGGGGAGGAGTCAAACAAAAACTTCCTAAAACCTTCTTAAAAACAAAAGTTCCCTCTGCTTGAGGAGCAGAGTTGGCTGCACTAAGGGCTTACTTTCATTTTGCTGACCTTATCAATTCAGAATCTTGCACAAAGTCCTTCTAAATATCAGCTAGGTTGACTCTGATCTGGTGACAGAGATGCCACCATCTTCAGGGACAGAAACAGCATGTCAGCCTTCAAGAGGATGGAGGACTTCCAAACTCCCCACAGGCCCGAGAGGGAAAGAACCAAGGTCAGCCAGGAAATCATTTCAGCTCATGAAACATGAATAGCTCAGGGTTTTGTGTGTTTTCTTATCTGAGAGTAATCTAGTCTCTCTGAACTCCTAGCTCCTCAAGATACTTCTCAAGGCCTATAAATACAGACAGGATTTATTGCAGAGACATTAGGTCTATAGCTTCGAGGCCCTGTTGTAATGCTAATTACACAGTCAGTCATGTGCAAGCTAAGCCTCCCCAGACATAGCTAGAAGAAAACTCGCCATACGTACGTGTCATAAACGTTCAGCAGCCAGTTGAGACACATATCTACACACAGAGGGACATTGACCAAATTGTTGTGCTCTTGTTCTAGGCGGTCATAAACAGTGGTCAAACAGTTGATGATCTGCAGGATATCCATGGGCTGGTCATTTTGCTTGAGGTTGTGCTGGTCCAAGGCATCACATGCAGCCGACAGGCTCAAGAGATCCACTGCAAAAAGCACCAAAAACCACACACTTTATTTGCAGCTTCTTTCGGAAGCACCATCTGAACCCTATCCTCTTTCCAAGGGATTTGGGAGCTAGACCATCAGAGCTTGTCCCACAATTTCTCCTGGCACTGGGTAAGGCATGAGGAATGATACAGTTCCCACCCCCTGCCACCAAGTATCAGGGAGTATATCAAAGTTGAATAGATCTATCCTGTTTTGTATAAGCACTCATTTCCCCCTGAATAACAGCAAGTTTACTAGAGATTTTGAAACAGATTCTGTCAATTCTTTCTTACACTAGCATTAGAGAAGGTCAGTTAGATTAATCTCTGAACAGGGTTGTATAAACTCTATTGCTAACCGTGCATTTATAATCCTAAGTGGCTTTCCCTTTACAGTAAACATCCCCTGAGCATCTCTGCTATGTTCACCTGAGGTGACAAATAATCAACTTCACTATAATGTTCTGCAGGCAAACTGAAATAACTACATCATTTATCCAATATTCAGACCCGAGGCTGAATTATTTCCCTTTTCAAACTGTCGTGTACAGTGTGTGTTCCTCGAGTCCTCGAACAATATGATAGGACTGGGGGTGGGCAGAGAGGAAATTCCATGCTGCCCAACAAAGATCTAACCACAGGTGAAACTTCCAACTCTGTCCAGCATCAATGTACCACAAATCTGATTCTGAGGAGTCAGGGAAAGATGCTTTTTCTCTAAAGCAACGTTATCAAATTTCAAGTGCAGCAATCTGCATTTTCGACAACTCAATATACTAAAGTTCCTCTTGTGCTTCTCAGTCCTTTGAGAGGAGCAATCAATGATGCCTGAATCAATCTCTCACACCTCTACAGGGATGGAACAATATAATTTTAAATGCAATTTCAGATAAATACAGGTTATTCCCAACAAAAAGATGCAAACAGAACACATAAACTTAACTGTTACATGTAGCCAGTGCTAACTGTATTAAGAAAACAAAAGTATTAAATGTCTATGTAAGTCCACAACCAAGGAGCACAAATATTTTTCTTTGAAAAACACAAGACAGAAAACTTAGGCATTTTCTAGAAGCATGAACAACTAGTCATGGAAATTTTTTTTTCTTTTTCTTTAATTCCAGAGAATAAAACTCTGTCATCCCAGTAAGCTGTCACCGTAAGATGTCCAAAACTATCATGTATCTAAGGAAGCAAAGGCACGTCTTCTATTACTTTAAAAGCAGTCACAGGGCAGGATGATGGAGCAAGCTAATCCTCCGTCTGCATAGCCGGCATCCCGTATGGGTGTTGTTCAAAGTGCAACTGCTTCACTTCCAATTCAACTTTCTGCTATGACACATGAATGCAGCAGAGGCCTTGGGCTCCTGCACCTATACGGGAGAGAGGCCACTGCCTGGGATGCCAGGATTCCACATGACTACCAGTTCAAGTCCTGTTTGCTCCACTTCCCATCCAGTTCCCTGCTTATGCACCTGGAAAAGCAGTAGAGGATGGCACAAGCACTTGGGGCCCTGTGAGACTCGGCTGAAGCTCCAGTCCCTGCTTTGGCCTTGGCCCAGCTGTGGCTGCTATAAAACCATTCTGGTAAGTAAACCAGCAGATGAAAATCTCTTTCTCCCAGTCTTTATTATCTGTAACTGACTCAAAATAACAATAATGTTTAAAAAAGATTTATTGAAAAACATATCATCATGCATTGCTTAATGATGGAAATCCATTCTGAGAAATGTGGTTGATTCTACCACAGTGTGTTTACCCTCAAGAAGATGCGTCTGACATCTTAGGAGATAGAATCCTATGGCCTCACCTTTACTCAGGCAGCCTGTCATTGACTGCATGTACTGGAGAAATGACCTCTTTTCACGGAAGCTCAGATTGTTTAAAGTTGTAGAGAAAAACATAACTCGGGAGACTGATTTGAAAAGTCAGGTGGGCAAAAGCAGAATGAATTCAAACATAACAAAGCAAGCCAGGAGGACAGGAGGAGGGCAAAAACTGAATGGGGAGTAAGAGAGGAAAGAAAGAACCAGAGAGATAAAAAGAGTCTGCTTGCATCCTCTCTTCTGACTTCCACAGGGAGTACATTTTCCAGAGCAAGTACTGAGATCATTCAGAAATGCAGCTCTGCAGTTCCACAACGGGAAGAGAGGAAAAGATTTCCTGCCAACACCAATGTTCCCAACATATGTCCTGATATAACGAGGGGAGCTATGGGCAGTTTTATATTTTTTCATTATTTTCTTTTTTGTTATTCTGCTTTAATCATTATAAAAACTTGGGTTTGGATCCAAAGATGTAAGAACTAACAAGCGGGATGTTTAGATGCATGACTGTATTTAGTGTCTAACCTACTCATGTGATGGGAACCGCAAAATTGCATGAATTTCATTTTATTGGGTCTTCTCTTATCTCTGTGCAGGTGAACGGGTAACACACTGAACAGAAAATTTGGAATATAAATAGCTCCAGAGGGGAGCAAAGCAATTGCCCTGAAATAACAGGAGCAGAAGATGACATAGTTAGGAGAGAAATACTGCACAGCATGTTCTGCTCAAACTGGATGTGGTTAAACACAAGAGTCATCCATCACACAAGACGAAAGAATACATTTCCACAAACACACACAGCAAACAGATTCCCATGAACACAAAGCAATTGTTAAGGGACTTCCATTTAGGCATGCGGTGCCCATGCTAGGGACCTGAAAAGAGGGGAGAATGCCTATAGGGACTATTTCATTGCTACACACATACTCACTTTTCCAAAAGAACAGCTTAAAGGATACACTGAATACAGTTTTTCCTTGATGAAAAATTAAGCATAATGGGTAGCTATTTCTGAAAGCCTCAATAAGCAAACAGCAGATACAATTTTTTAAAATTATCCTTTTACCTCAAGCTAGGAATTGCATTAAAATATGTATCTTTATGAGGATTCAAAATGCTCATGGAAAAGAGGTTTACAAGATGATGCACCTTGGCATCAACTTTTTGTGTGTATTCTTTTAGTGCATTCATTGAGATGTATATATATATTTTAAAGACACACAAAAATCAAACATGCTAATATAGCACCTCTTTCAAAAGTCTTTCTTTTTAAATCTTTTTACAAAGCATACGATTGCCTCCAACAGCACTGAAGAACACAGACCATGTGGCAGTGACCCTCAAATGCTAACTCTATTCCCTTCCGTGTATGCCACAATGAGGAGCTCAGGAAAATGACTGGTTTTGTCCTTTTCTAGAATCACAGACTTCCAGAGACAGGAAGCACCTTGAGCATTGTTTGGGAATTGAGGAAAATGTGAGCAGACACATGGTTACTTGCTCTGGGTGTTAAGACAGGATACCAAGGTTTGCTGCTTTCTTTGAGACACGGATACTGAGGGCACGAGGCAGCCTTCTGGACTTCAGAAATGAGGAGGACCATTCTGCACTGCATACTCATGAGCACTAACATTCTCATGATACCCTCACAACCCCATGCTCATCCTACTTCAACCTGGATATTCTGCATTGCCATGGGATCCAACAGAGAAAGAGGGAGTGAGCGGGGAAACATGCGTTTGTGGGCTTTTCTTGCCCAGTCAGAAGGTACACCTGGGAAGAGGCAACGATTGTTGACTTCATGCCATTCTATGGGCAGTTTACATTTAAGGCTGAAGGACTTTCCAAAGGAATCTTTGTACAGCAAGAAAAAACAGCGCACTTTGATGTAGGCATCTGCGTTTTGACAGGTAACCCCTAGAGGCTTGGGAGTCGGCATGAGATGTTTCACTAAAACATCTACACAGTGCAGAACGCCTGCCAAAGCAATGGAAAGAAGCGGCTTGCTGTGCTGATGTACAACCATGGGCTAAAGGTCACCGCCAATGTTTACTGCTAATAGTAACAATGACCATTTTTACCTGGTCTCAGTGAGAACCACAGACTTAACTGGGTTTGGAGCTGGCTAAATGCCTAACTTACCGATATGCTGTGCTATGAGCAACTAGCTGAGACTCCAATTTGTGCTCCTTCACTTCTGCGGTGCTTTGTGCCCACATCAGTGGGTCCTAATGCGAGAGAAAATGTATCCCTGTGTGGCCCTTGCAGAGAGAGGGGAATGAGAGTTTACACCAGGTCCCTCTGCTCCCATACTGGGATGCATATCCTGGTTCTAATGCTGTTGAATCATTGCATCCTTCTCCTGTCTTGGACTGTACATTTTCAAGCACTGTCAGTTGGGTTCTGTGGATCCTTTCTAGCAATTGAACCTTTTGTAACTGCTACTATCTGGGCAAGTCATTGGCAGAAGCAAGATGTCAGAAGACATTCAACTTATTCTTAGCTAAAAATAAGTCATTTATTTTGCAAAGACACTAAGAAATAAGATAATCCTAATGAAAGATGAAAACGGTGCATTTCTGCTAGTCATTAGGCTACCTTCACTTTGAAGCAGCACGTAAGGGCTCTAAGATTGATGGCTGATGGGGCTATGCATAGCACATAAAGCTGCCACCTGCAACACTGGCATCCCACAAGGGCGCCAGCTCCAGACCTGAGGGCTCTACTTCTCATCCCTTTCCCTGCTAAAGTGCCTAGGAAAGCAGGAGGAGATAGTCCAAATGTTTATATCCCTGTAGCCATGTGGGAGATATGGAAGAAGCTCCTGGCTGCTTGGCTCCAACTACCACAGACATTTAGGGAGTGAATCACTGGATTAATGATCTCTCTCCCTGTAACTCTGCCTTTCAAGTAAATCAAATTCATCTTAAAGCTTGATTAGTGATACTACAGCTTCCTAGTACAACCTGGAAATGATAGAGTAAGACAAAGGAGTTAATAAAATGGATTAGAAGGAAACTGCAAACTGATTCCATAGCTGCTTAACCAAAAAAAAAAAAAAATCAAATCAATTCCTACATTGTCAGCAAAAGCTAAAGTTCACAATCCCTTACACTTGAACTGCACTCTTGCATGCCTGTAGCTGGGGTTCCAACCAAAGGAACCAGG